GAAGTCCCAGACCTGGTGGCTTAAACTCACGTCAGGCGTGTGTGTGCGTGTGTGCCCAAGATCCCGAGAGGAGAACGGAGGAGAAGGGACTGCAGCGTGGCCATCCCCCCTGGGGGTTAATTTCTCGCTTTCTGTCTCTCTCCGCCTGTCTGGTGAGCACACGTGCCCTATAGCAAAAACCTCTCAAAAAAAAAAATTAAATAAAATAATTCTTTTTTTTAAAAAAGAAAGCCTTTAAAACTGACAAAGGCGGTAACGTCACTCAGTGGGGAAAGATTAACTGCAATAATGGGACCAGGACACTGGGCACCACCTGCCTGCACAGAAGTTGGGTTAAGTTCTTCCCTTCCATCATAAACACAAAAGTTAGTTCTGGGCCAATTATATTTACATACAACACCCCCCCCCCAAGAATATAACTTATTTTTACACTCCAAAAGCCCTTTAACTGGAAAGAGAAAGACAGAATTGACTGCAAATATTAAAACTTTTTTTTCAGAGAATGATATAATCCACAGGTTAAAAGGCAAACAAATGAGAACAGCTTCTCTATCGTCAGACAAAGGGTTAATAGTAGTAATATGCAGGACCAGCAGATGGCGTAAGGGTTAGGTTGCAGGACTCCCACATAGTCATCCACGGTTCGAGTCCCAGACCCAGCGGCTTAAAACTCACACTGGGCATGTGTGTGTGTGTGTGTGTGCCCAAAATTCTGAGAGAAGACCGGAGAAGGGATTGCAGCATGGCCACTCACCCTGGGGGTGACTACTTGCTTTCTGTCTATCTGGTGAGTGCATGTGTCCTACAGTAAAAATCTCTCTCTCCAAAACAACAACAACAAAAACAGTAGTAATATGCGTCAATCAATAAAGGACAGACCAATAATCTGGAATGGTGCACATGGGAGGGTGCCACCATGTGACAGCTGGGGCTGGGTGGGAGGCTTGGGTTCAGTGCCTGGCCCAACCTCAGCAGGTCAGCTGCAGTGTTACACACCTGTGGTCATGACTAACCAGGAGCTGGGGTAGGAAAGATCATGATGTGGTAGAACCCTGTCAAAAATACCTCTCTCCCCAACATATTAAAAAAAATCTGGGGGACCAGCAGTTAGCGTAATGGCTATGTCGCTGGACTCCCATGTAGTCGACCGTAGTTCACGTCCCCGGACCTGGTGGCTTAAACTCACGCCAGGCGCGTGTGCGTGCATGCCCAAGATCCCAAGAGGAGAATGGAGGAGAAGGGATTGCGGTGTGACCATCCCCCCGGGGGGTGATTTCTCACTTTCTGTCTCTCTGTCTCTCTCTGTCTGCCTGGTAAGTGCACACACCCTATAGCAAAAACCTCACGGGCAGTGCTTTCCTGCTCCTGGTCTTTCTGGCAAGCCTATATGCCCTTTTCATTTTAGCAAAACTTAACATTAATTTTAGCAAAACTAAAAAAAAAAGAAAAGAGCCATTATAGGGTCGACCCCATGGCCGAGTGGTTGAAGGGAGCTGGATCACACAGGCTTACCATGGCTTTTATTTATTTATTTTTTTGAGAGGTTTTTGCTATAGGATGTGTGCGCTCGCCAGACAGACACAGAAAGCAAGAAATCACCCCCCCCGGGGGGGGATGGCCACGCCTCAATCCCTTCTCCTCCATTCTCCTCTCAGGATCTTGGGCATGCACACACACATGCCCGGCATGAGTTTAAGCCACCGGGTCCGGGACTTGAACTGCGGTCGACTACATGGGAGTTCAGCAACACAGCCATTACGCTAACTGCTGGCCCCTTACCATGGTTTGAATCCTGGCCCTGGTGGTTTCAAAAACACATCATGTATATGTGCACGTGGGTACCCAAAAATCCCAGTAAGAGAAATGGAGGAGGGACTGTGGCATGACTATGGCTCATAGAAGGGTGCTTTCTCCTTCCTCCTCCCCGACCCTGGTGAGCACAGGAGCCCTGCAGCAATTAAGAAAGATATAAACTGGATCTTTTAAAATTCACCAGAGTCGGGGCCTGCAGGTGGGGTGGCGATTCAAGTGCTGGACTCTCACATGGCTAACCATGGTTCAAGTTCCGGACCTGGTGGCTTGCTTTCTTGCTTTCTTTTTCTTTCTCTGTCTCTCTCTAGTCAAATTAAAAAAGAAATAATAACAACAAATAAAAATAAATAAATAAATACATCTTTAAAAATCTTTTAAAGGGCCCAAGGGTGCATGTGCTTGGGGGTGGGAGAAGCAAGAAGGCACCCGTCATGGGGCATAGACACCGCAATCCCCTCTTCCATTGCTCTTTCCTGTTGGGATTTGGGGCATGCATGCACAGGTCCCCGGGGTGTTTTTCAAGCTGCTGGGTCCAGGATTCGAACCATGCAGTCAGCCATGTGGGATTCAGCTGCCTTAACCACCAGGACATGGGGTGGCCCTAGGTCTATTTTGTATTGCCAGAGTGTGCATGTGCTTACCAGAAAGACAGAAACATGCCTGCAATAGAACACGGCCATTCTGCAACCCTCCTCTCCCACTCCTTCACCCTGTTAGGACTCCGGGCACGTGCGCACACACCCAACCTGTTTCTCAGGGTGCAGTTGGCCGTGTGGGATCTGGCTGCCTCAACCACCAGGCCACACAGCCTGCCTCCATTATACTGGGTCACTGGAAAGTCATGATGTGTTTTTCTTTGTTTTTCTATGCAAAAATGCATCATGACTTTTCAGCGGCCCAAGAGATCTTACAAATAATGAGGGAGAGCTCTCTGATGGACCAATGAGATGTGCAGATGTCTTTGCTTTAGAAAACTAGGTATCTGTATCTGTATAGTGTCACTAAAATACACACTGTGTATGGAAAGAGGAAGGCATTACATGTATAATAAGGGATGACTGGTATTGAGAGCCACCGAGAATTACATAAACAGACGTTCACTCTCTTGTACATTTTTATGTTTACATTTTGAATAACTTTGATTACTTTACAACAAAAAACCTGAAGTAGCACAAAGTTTTACTAGTGTTAAGTAACAATAACATCCTGTTCTTTTTTTAAAAAAGAGGTTTTTGCCTTAGGGCACAAGTGCTCACTGGGTAGAGAGAGAAATATACAAGAGACAGAGACGGTGAGACAGAAAGTAAGAAGTGACCCCCTGGGGGGATGGCCGCACCACCATTCCTTCTCCTGTGATCTCCTTCCGGGATACTGGCCACGTGGATACACATGCCTGACATGAGTTTCAAGTCCCTGGGTCCAGGACTTGAACTACGACTGGCCACACTGGAGTCCAGTGACATAACCACTACACCAGCTGCTGGTCCAACATCCTGTTTTTAATGCAAAACTTCAGTGTAGTATGATAGGAAACACTAGCCCACAAAACTAAACAAACAAACAAAAAGACTTTTTTAAAAGGATGTACAGAACCGCTGCTGTTGGCGATTTCTTTTAAGACAGCTGCGACGACTAGCTCCTACACACAGTGCAGTAGACACTGTTCACGCTGAGGCCTGTAGCATCAGCTGCTGGGTGAACTACGACATCAACGTAACCCACGACAGCCCTCTGTCCGGGAGCTCCCTGTGAGCACCGGAGGCCAGAAACGGGGTCAGTCAGACAGACGGGACACCTGCTTGCGCTCTGTGGGGCTTCCGAACCATCTCCGTGTATACTTAACCAGGGAATAAGCTGAATAGAAAACGACGCGTACAGCTTCTTTATATGAACAATTACAGTTTGTTATATTAAAGTCTCCAAAAGCTGAAATTAAATCTGCTTCTTAAACTGAACCTGAGCAGTTATGTAGGTCTAACTGGACATAAATACCATAGGTATAAGGCAGATCATAAATGAACATTGTTTAATTTTGCCCAGACCTTTATTCATAATGTATTATGGTAAATACTGTAGGGATCAGGAACGTCTGAGTGTAATCAACGTCCTTCTGAATTTCCCAGTTCACACTGGGAAATACACAATCTCAAACACGAATAAACATTAGGTTGTCGGAAAGTCATGATGTATTTTTCTGTTTCTCTATGCAAAAAAAGCGTCATGACTTTTCCGAGGACCCAACAAAAGCACGAATGAAAGCCTTCCCCCCTTCGGCTGGGAAGGAGCTGACTAGCGGTGGGGATGGAGGCCCGGAGCGCTGCACCCTTACCTTGTCGCAGCACTCCACGGCTTTGGTGTACTCTCGGAGCTTCAGGTAGCACATGGCCAGGTTCAGAAAGGCGGCCAGCAGGAACGACTCGGACGCTTTCGATTCCTTCTCGGATAGACCGTACTCCATCTCTAACCAGGACACGATCTTCCCGTACTGAATCACCGCCTGCAAGTACTTGCCTCCCTAGGAGGAGAAAAGCAGTCACGACTGGTACTCGGCTCCCTGGGGCTCCGGAACGCACAGCCCTCCCCAGAAAACCAAACCCTCCAAAGGGAACGACCCCGTGTGTCAATCCCCGCATGGGTTGGAGGTGGTGCACGCCAGCGCCTGTTCCTCCCCTCGGGAAGGCCCGGCGGCCCCAAAGCTGGCTCAGGGAGGCACCAGCACCACGCAGGGTGTACGTCCGCCCTGTCCTTTCAGCAGGTGACCGGCAAGGCTTCTGAGCTACAGCCTGCTGCTAGTTCCCACCGGCCTTTCAAAAGGGTGCTGAGCGGTTTTGACTACGCCACGCATCTCTGTGACAGGGGAGCCGCTTGTCCCCGGACGTGCAGCGCTGCATGGAGCACTCCATGATCCGACAGGTGCCGGTCGTCTAAAACCGTCTGTCGCACCCTCGCAACCATGTCACTCGTGCAAAGCAGATCAGGACGACCAGTGGGGAAACAAGTGGGTGTGGCTGTGTCGTGGTCAAACTTGACTTACAACGTGGGCAGTGGGACAGACCTGGCCCACTGGCTGTCATCTGCTGACCCCTCCTCTACAGCCCATGGGAATAAGGAGCCGAGCAGCAGCCCCCAACACAAGGAACAACTACGGGACAACATAAATCACGTGGGAGTCAGTCAACTCCGTGAGCAAAAGCTTTCTCCAGCTCCTGTTTTTGTTCTCTTACTTGATTAGAAGGCCAGCACCTGCAAATGATGGCGTGAGTTAATTTTACATATGCGTTGTACGTGCGAAAGCCCGGGAAACGACGGCGTGTTCGCTGCCGCCTTAAGAAGAACCAGAGATGGAGTGACAGCTGGTAAGTGCACCCATGGGGAGGGAGGGCGGGTGCGGGCTCTCCTTTGCAGGAGTGTTACAGCTCAAAAACACAGATGACACATCCTGCCAGATGGCAGAAAGCAGCCAGACCTTAGGACGTCACACTCAGTGTCTGACCAGGACAGAGGTTAAGACCAGGCCCCTAGGCCTCCCCAGAGTTAGAGACGTAAGCCATCTCTCTCCCTACACACTCCCATCCTCACCGGAGAATCTGAGTAAGAGAAAACCCGGAGGTCTTAGAGAACGTGCCTGTCAAAAAGGACTTCAAGAAGGCGGCAGCCCCTGCAGGAAGAAGCCCTGATGTCGATTTTCCGGGGACGACGTTGGGAGAGACCTGCTCTGACTGGAAGGCCTGGGTCTGAATGTCCAGCTTTACAGCCACTTGTTCAGGAGAGGGGAGACTCACGGAGCTCCCGGGCCTCGCTGAGGGCAAGCGGTGCGCGAGGGTTCTGAGACGTTACGAAGAAGGACTGAAATCAGTCTTCACCCTCTTTGCCTCAGAAAGTCAAGAGACATCACTGATCTTTAAGAACATGAAAACAGGTCCTCTCATTGTACAAGCTAAAAGTATTTTTTTAATTAAAATATTATTTATTTAATTTTATTACTTTTATTTGCTACAGGGTACATTTACTCACCAGAGAGAGACAAAGAGACAACAGAGAGAGAAAGTGAGAAAGCAAGCTGCCAAGTCCAGGACTCAAACCATGGCTGGCCATGAGTCTAGCACCCCAAACACCATGCCACCTGCTGCCCCCAATAAAAGCTGATATTCTTCTTTTTTGGGGGGGAGGGGAGAGATTTTTGCTATAGGGCACGTGCACTCGCCAGAGAGACAGAGAGATAGAAAGTGAGAAATCACCCCCCTGGGGGGATGGCCACGCCACAATCACTTCTCCATTCTCCTCTTGGGATCTGGGGCACGCATGCACACGCAGCCGGTGTGAGTTTAAGCCACTGGGTCCGGGACTTGAACCATGGTCGACTACATGGGAGTCCAGTGACATAGCCATTACGCTAACTGCTGGTCCCAAAGCTGACATTCTTGGGGAAATTATATTTTCTGTGTGCCGGATGTGTCCTCTACCCCAAATTCACACGTGGAAGCCTTCAACCCAGGGTGAAGACATTTGGAGGGGCCTTTGAGAGGGAATTATTTGGATGAGGTTATGAGGGTGGGCCCCACGGTGGGCTTGGTGTCCTTGTAAGGAAAGACTGCACAGGGTCTGATTCCACACCACACCACACCACACTCCGACGAGGACACAGCAGCAAGAGGGCTGTGAGCACCCCAAGGTGACGGTCCCACCACACAGCCTCTGCTGTTCTCGTCTCTAGAACTGTGAGACATAAACTCCTATTGCCCCCTCATCCTGGCATTTTGTTATGGCAGCTCAGGCTGACTTAGCCAGTATTTACTTTTGCCTCTGCGTTAGGCCAACCACTCCGTCTGGGGCACTACACAGCAATAAAAATAAGTCTACAAAGGGCCAGCAGGTGGCCTGGTGGTTAAGACGCTGGGCTCCTACAAAGCCAACTGCAGTTCAAGTTCCCAACCCAGTGGCTTGAAATTCACACCAGGCATGTGTGCGTGCATGCCCCAAATCCCAGGATAATGGAGGACAGGGACTGCAGTGTGACCATCCCCCGGGGGGGTGATTTCTCATTTTCCCTCTCTCTGTCTCTGTCTCTGGCAAGCGCACATGCCCTATGGCAAAAAGCTTAAAAAATAAAAAATAAATGATAAAGTCCACAGTTTCAAGGGTGGTGTCTTCTTTCGGTCACTGCCTTTTCTCTTGGTGGGTTATGAGCTCTTTGAGGACAGAGGGCATGTCCTGTTCCTTTTGGGATATCCAGGGTTTAGCTCAAAGAGGCCCTTAACGAAAAGGCTTGTTGAGTAAGTATTCAAGTCAAAGGGACACAACTACGGAGTCAAAACCGTTCCCATTACAGAGAGCAAGACATGGAGGTGTGAGTAGAAACGAAAGGGCCACTGCATCCAGACCAACGGAGGGTGGGCATTTCCCCGCCAGGCCTAGTTTCTTATTCTCTCCTCCTCCTTCGCCTCTAGGATAACCATGAACTCTTCCAACCATCTACTATACCCCTCCTCTTTTGTACCTGTTTAAATGTTTGAGTTGCCAGTGGGTGCATGTGCTTGCTAGAGAGGGAGGAAGGGACAAAGCCCCCATCAGTGGCACGTGGTCATGCTGCCACCACTTCCCCTCCATTCCTCACCCCTTCAGGATTTGGGGCGAGCAGCACATGCGCCTGGTCTTTCTCTTCCTGCCACCAGGGCCAGGACTCAACCACAGGGGTCATGTGGGATGCGACTCCCTACACACAGGGCTTACCTCTGCTACACGGCTGGCCCGCCTAATGCCTGGTTCCAGGGAGAGGAAAAAAGAGCCCAGGAGGATGGAGACCTAGTTCTTAGCACTGTCATTTCTGTGGGTTCTGAATACTCAGGACGGTAGAAGGCCACAGTGGTTCCTAGAAAAACAGACTTCTGAACGGTTCCTTTATATTTACAGAGCATCTTTAATTTTTTGGACATTCTTCTAGGTACATGTTGAATACCCTTTATCTGAAATGCCTGGGCCAAAGTGTTTCCGATTTTTCTGGATTTTGAAATATTTGTAATATGAGAGGCCTTCAAAAAGTTTGTGGAAAATAGAATTAAAGTACAAGCTTGAGGCCAACCAGTGGCATGGTGGTTAAGGTGGATAGATCACACATGGCTGAATGGGCAGTTTGCGTCCCAGACCCAGTGGCTTGAAAAACAGGCTGGGCACATGTGTGTGAGTGCCCAAAATCCTGAAAGGAGAGAAAAAGGGAGAGAAGAGATTGCACATGATGGCCCCATGGGGGGGGGGCCCTCACTTCCTCTCTCTGTCTTTCCAGTGAATGTATACGTCTGCTGGCAAATTAAAAAATTAATAAGATTAAAAAAGTACATGTATGAGGCTGCAGAGGTGGCATGGTGGTTAAGGTACTGGACTCCCACATGGTTGACTGTAGTTCGAGTCCTGGATCGGGTGGTGTCCTTTCTTACTGTCTCTCTCTGGTGAGTGTACATGCCCTATAGCAAAATTAAAAATAATAATCAGGCCAGCAGGTGGTGTGGTGGTTGTGTAGCTGGACTCCCACGTGGCCAACTGCGGTTCGAGATCTGGACCTGATGGCTTGAAAATCACACTGGGCATATATGTGTGTGCATGTCCAAGGTCCCAGGAGGAGAATGGAGAAGAGATCGTGGTGTGGCCATCTCCCCTTGGGAGTGATTTCTTACATTCCCTCTCACTGCCTCTGTCTCTCCAGCAAGTACATGCACCCTATGACAAAAATCTCTAAATAAATACATAAAAATCAAACAAATAAAAATTTTAAAAGTATATGTTTTATTTTTATGCAAAAAAACCCAGAAATCTATGCATAGTTTTTTCATCATAGGCTTTTTCCATGAACTTTCTAAAGACTACCTGTATATAATGAGATGTCATGGGGATGGGACCCAAGTCCCAACACACAATTCATTTGTTTCAATATATATAGAACTTGAAGGTAATTAAAAAATATTTTTGTATTGTAATGTTTTGACTGAGGCTTGTTGCACAAGGTCAGGTGCAGAATTTTCTAGTTATGTCATTGTGTTCGTGCTTAAAAAGTTTGGACTTTGAGGCCAACAGATGGCATGGAGGTTAAGGCTGGATCCTGGGTGTGGTTCGAGTCCCAGACCCAGCAACTTGAAAAAACAGCCTGGGGGCACACGTGTTTACGTGCCCCAAATCCTGAGAGAAGAAGGGACTGTGGTGTGGCCATTTTCCCCAGGGATGATTTCGTACTCTTTCCTCTCTCTCTGGTGCGCATGTGTGGTCTCTGGCAAAAGTCCTTGTTAGTGGTATTCCTGCTTCTGAGGAACCGAAACAGCAGTCCTTACCTGGGGGTGAGACGCTTGGCAATGTCTGGAGGTATCTGTAGAAGTCACACCTGGAGGGGAGGATGCTACTAGCATCTAGTGGGCAGGGGCCAGCTCCATGGCCTGGTGGTTGAGGCACCAGATCCCACATGATCAACCACATGGTTCAAGTCCCAGACCCAGCAGCTTAACAGCAGCCTAGCACACATTCCGGGCATGTGTGTATGTGTGCCCAAATCCCAAAGGCGGGAGAAATGGAGGAGAAGGGATTGCACTGTGACCATTTGTAAGGGGAGGTGCTTCTCCTCTCCTCCCTCTCTCTGGTGAGTGCACACACCCTCCAGAAAAACAAACCACCCACCCCCATTAAAAAATAAATAAATAAACTTACAATGCATAAGGTAGCCCCCAGATAAAAAATTATCTGGCTCCAAATGTCAATAGTGTGGTGGCTGAAAAATCCTGCACTAAAATAGAAGGAAGGAGATAAAAAGACAGGGTGGATTACTCTTAGAAGTTTTCAAAACATTTTGCCGAGGGCACATGTGCTATTCTGAGAGCAAGAGCCAGAGCGAGCCAGCACAAGCCCTCGAGCACCCCCTAGTGGGGTGTGGTCACACTACCGGACCTTCGTTTCCCCACCTGTCAGGATTTTGAGCACGCATGCACATACTTTCCCTCTGCATTCGGATTTGGGACCACACGCACCAGCATGTTTTTGAGGCTGCCAGGGCTGGGATTCATACTGCGTGGCTGGCCGTGGAGGATCTAGCCCCCTTTAACTACTAAGCCGTGGGGCCGGCCCAAGGCCTCTCCTTTTAACTCCCACATCCTGAGCCATATTAGACTCATTTCTAAATTGCGTTACTGGTATCGTGGGTAGGCGAGGGTGTTGAAGCATGGTGAAGCCTGGTTTGCTGGGAACTTGGGTGGCTGGAGGATTACCCTTCACTAGCTTGCTTTAGATGCTTTCTTCCCCAGAGGGACACAAGGGGGAGCAAGAGTCCGGCACCGCAGCAGGGCCCTCAGTGGGGAGGAGAAACCAAGCAGATGTGAGGCTGATGCTGCTGTCCCCAGCACTGGCGGTGAGGGCGAGACGCGGTCTACTACCTGGCCTGCACAGGCCGGGCACAGCACACTCTGCTGTACGGACCTCACGATGATGCTCAGGGCCCAGTGAACAGAGTGCTCGACCGCTCTCCTCCCTCGTGTTCACAGGCTCAAATTTCACCATCTAAGCAGTAACATCATTCCCATTTAAAAGCAGAGGGCAGGCCTCCAAAGGGGAGAGACCCCTCCACGTAAGTGTATGCCAACACAGGTCAAGGGGGCCAGCACGCCCGCATGCTCATGGCATGAAGTGTGGCCATCTAGTCAGCCCGTCTCTGCCCTCACCCACACGTGCATCTGCGCGGGGGACAACGTGCCAAGCTAACGACTCTGGGCAGACGGGCCACGAGGGCAGGACGGCGATCGAAACCTGCCCTGAAGGCTGAGAAGGGAAGGGACGTGTGCAGGAAACTCCCGCAGCTGAAGCTAGGATCGCGGCCGGGATCTTTACCTACAATTACGAAGGCGCCTCCAGGGAAGTTCTTAGTGGTACAGAATGTTCACAGAGACGTTCTGGGAGAAAAGGCTCAGGTCAGTGGTTTTGAACTTTTCACTAATTTTCCCCCAGTGGACTAATGTTTTGAAAGACTCCGTCTATCAAACTGCATGTTAAAAATAATCTGTCCCATATGTGTGACTGCTGATCCAGACTTTATCCAAAGATCAGTAAGTTTTTTTTTTTTGGAGAGGTTTTTGCTATAGGGTGCGTGTGCTTGCCAGAAGACAGAGAGAGACAGAGACAGAAAGCAAGAAATCACCCCCCAGGGGGGATGGTCACACCGCAATCCCTTCTCCTCCATATTCTTTCGGGATCTTGGGCACGCACGCACACGCAGCCGGTGTGACTTTTAAGTCACCGGGTCCGGGATGTGAACCGTGGTCGACTACATGGGAGTCCAGTGACATAGCCATTACGCTAACTGCTGGTCCCCAAAGATCAGTAATTTTAAGAAGGTTTATAGTATTATAAAATACACAAGTCACTCTTACAGTCGTGATGCTAATAAGCAACAAAATAACTGTACAAACAAACACTGCTTTCTCCTACTAACCACTAATTCTGGCCATCTCTCTGTATGTGTATGTCTGTATATATTCAAGACACAGCTAAATGACACATGGTTTTGTGACCTTTTTTTGTTACCAGTGATGTTCTCTTAAGGTTCTGTGTCATCAGTAGCCAAAAACTTTAAAAAAACTTTTTTTTAAATGAAATTATTTCTTTCTTTAATTTTATTCATTATTAGTATTTACAATTATTTTTAAATTGTGACCAAAGAGACAGAGAGAACAAGGGAAGGGGGAAGTGAGAAAGCAAGCCTCCAGGTCCGGGACTCAAATTGTGGTTGGCCACGTGGGAGTCCAGGACCTTAACTACCACGCCACCTGCGGGCCCCTCTGAGCTGTTTCATGACACTGAATAGATATAATCTAGCCAAATGCCAAAAGCCTCTCCCTACAGCCCCCCAAAATTGTTAATATTCTATTCAGAAATTTAGGGAAACACATAAAATACAGTTAAGGACTTTTATGAACCCCAGGAATATGGAAACTCCATTCAGGACTTACGAGTCTTAAGGGATTTTACAGAAATGTTTCTATTCTAGTGCACTGTGTATTTAGTTGTGTATAAATAATCCATTTGGAGTCTTATCTAAATAGTTGAGAAGTATCCAATATACCTCCATTAGAATTTTCTTTTAAAAGAATTATTTATTATCATTATTTTCCAATTTTGACTAGAGAGACACACAGAGAGAGAAGAGAAAGATAGAGAGCAAGCCGCCAGGTCCGGAGCTCAAACCACGGCTGGCCATGTGGGAGTTCAGTGCCCTAAACTACCAGGCCACCTGCGGGTCCCTCCATTAGAATATTTCAAAAAAAAAAACAAAAACAAAAAACAAAACCAAAAACAAAAACACAAGCTCAAGAGTTTAGAAATTTAGAGCTAGAAAGCCAGTGTGTGTGTGTGTGTGTGTGTGTGTGTGTGTGTGTGTGGTTTATCTAGTCTAATTCCCTCGCCTTTCACATGCGAACGAACTCTTTGGATTTTAAATGACTTTAAATCATTTGAGGAGCCATAAAGCCCAGATTTCCCAATTTCCAACTCAAAGAGTCCTTCTCTCATCCTACCCCAACACTCTCTAGAGACTACATTATTTTGGTATATATAATAAATAATTATACATAGTCCTAAGTATATAAATAATTATTTAACCTACTGTATATTGCTTAACCTACGATGTGTTATTCTCTATATGTATACATTTACTACGCATTATTTAAACATACTTTCAAATTTGCCTGACTACAACCCACTGCAAGAAGTATATTTTCAATTAGAACCCGGTATCTACTTATGCATAACTAAACAGAAGTTTGACACATAAAAACTCATCCTCGTTACATATTGCATTACTCTTGCACTAAACTGAAAGTTTCAAAGACAAAGAGCGCCGTGGCCCTGTGTCAATGATGCTGATACATCCACATACAGTCCTCAGTGATTTTATTCCTCCTCCCTCTAGACAAGGTTGTAAACTCAGTAGTATCTTATAGCAAATGCTCCATAAAGACGTGTAAGCTTACGCATTGCCGTTTTACACTGTCAGAAAACATCATCACAGGGACCAGCAGGTGGCGTGGTGGTTAAGGTGCTGGACACTCCCACATGGCTGGCCATGGTTCGCGTCCCTGGACCTGGCGGCTTCCTTTCTCCCTTTCCCTCTCTCTTTCTCTCTATCTCTCTCTCTCTGTCTCGCTCTGGTCAAATTAAAATAAATGAATGAATAAATAAAATTAAATAAATAATAATTTTAAAAAATCATCGCATTTCTGTGACTGCAGTGGTGAGAGAGAAAAGGCAGAGAAAAAGGAGAGAAGTCGTGACAAGTCTCCGAGTCTCTCTTTAACTCTGCTCATCATGGACCCTTCCCACTTGACACGGAGGTGGCAAACAGGCGAGGTGGGGAAGAAACATTCTGATTACAATCCAAGTGCTAGTTCTTCTTCCCTACATACTGGGGGTTAAGATCTAAGCAAGAAAACGCCACATCCCTAGAAGAAAGCATAGGTGAGCAATTGTTTGGGAATTTCTGGAGGCCTCACAAGAGCAACTGTGCAGAGGTGGTCCTGGCCATGAGAAGCAGTGAATACTTCCTCCTTGAGCTTCCTTTGAACTCTGTGCATGCTGTCCTTCCTTCTGTCATGGGCCCTGGTGACTTCACCGAGACAGTGGAAAGGAAACTGATGTGAAACTTACCCCTATACAGTATACTACTTGCTAACAATGATTGGTTCTTTTTGAAAAAATTACTTGCCGGAGGGTTCTTGTGCTTGCCAGAGAGAAACAGCACGAGAGAGGGAGGAGAAAATACAATCCCACCAGGCACGGTCACTCCATAAGCCCTTCTCCATGTCTCCACCCTGCTGGGATCTGGGGAGCCCGCACACACGGTATGTTTATCAAGCTGCCAGGTCCCAGACTTGAACGGTGAGGTCAGCCATCTGGGATCCGGCTGCCACAACCACCACACAATTATTTATTCTTTTTTTATTCCATAAACACTTGTTGAGTACCAACTAGGTACCAAGTAAGATGCTTTTGGCCTTGAGGGATACAGCGGGCAGGCAAGCCAGGCCTGCTGTGCCTTTATAGGTTACAACCCAAGGTAGGATGTGTCAAGGAGGTCTCTGTATCCTTTTCCCCTTCCATCAATCCATTCTTTCCTCACCGTTTCTTATATTGAAATGACTTGAAAGAAATCCAGGCTTATTCTTACCAAGAGCAGAGTAGGGAATATCAGCGAAAGTCATTGACACTTGAGTAAACTCTTTGAGGTGAAAAGATGGATTGCACAGGGACTCACAGACCTTGAAGTACACAGTCCCCTTCTCTTTGACAATGGCAGCCTGCTCCAATTTTTCTTTGGTATCCATCTCCCAGGATTCTTTGGCCTGTATGTAAATTTGTGACAATGTTTAGATCAACGAAGAAGGAAAAGCATCCCTTGATGCCCCTTAGAACAAACAGCGGCTACTTAGCGGCTACTTCTAGAGGACATGCAGAAGTCAAGATGCACCAGCCACTGAAACCCGTGCTACCGCCAACTCCCTGCCAGGCTAGTCCTGCCGATCCTGCCAAAGGGACTCACTTCCTCTGACGGCCAAGCCGCAGCCTGGCCCGTGCTACTGAAGAGGAAGGAGACACAGGGAAACACACAGTGAAAAGTGAACTGCTGGGCACTGTGCAGAGGGTATCTTTAAAATGACAAGGTGAGGCCACACGAAGCTAGGGCCTGTAATTACCCTTTGCAAAACCGATTACGTTGTTTCTCCCAAGCCTCCATGTTTCAACTCTAAGTGGGAACACGACTATAGTCTAGTCCGAGCAGTACATTTGTATAGAATTTTCAAAATTTGGGACCAGCAGTTAGCATAATGGCTATGTCGCTGGACTCCCATGTAGTCGACCGTGGTTCGAGTTCCGGACCCAGTGGCTTAAACTCACACTGGGTGCGTGTGCGTGCGTGCCTAAGATCGTGAGAGGAGAATGGAGGAGAAGGGATTGCGGCGTGGCCATTCCCCCTGGGGGGTGATTTCTCGTTTTCTATCTCTCTGTCTTTCTGGCGAGCGCACGCGCCCTATAGCAAAAACCTCTCAAAAATTTTTTTTTTCAAAATTCTAGGTCCGGTAGTCGTCTCATCACTCTAAAACAACCAGATACACTAAAGGCTCCAAACGGAGTCGACTAGCAGAGGTACTAGAATTTCAAGTAAAACAGAAATGGGAAGGCAAGGCGCATGCAGCAGTATCACCGAGGAGCCCTAAATAAATGACTTCGTTTCCATCTGCTCGTCTGTGGTGTGTATCCCTGGTCTCCCCCGTATAGATACAAGTCCATATGAACCCTTCCCATATAACCAACTGGACTCGGAAGGTGGGTGATCACAATCTGGGGTCCTTTAGGGAAAGTGGCAGTGAGCATGGTTAGTGCCATTTCTGCACATACATGACGGTGTGTAAGTGGGTAACTACGCTTTCTCTATTCAGAGATTAGTGTGTGGTCCTGGTGTCAGTCTGTCCATCTCCTTTTTAGTTTGTTTTTAGGTTTGCCGCCATAGGGAGTGTGTTCTTGCTGGAGAGTGTGTTCGCTAGACAGAGAGACAGAAAGCGAGAAATCACCCCCCAGGGGGGATGGCCACGCCGCAATCCCTTCTCCTCCATTCTCATCTGGGATCTTGGGCACGTACGCACACGCGCCCAGCGTGAGTTTAAGTCACCAGGTCCAGGACTCGAACTGTGGTCGACTACATGGGAGTCCAGTGGCATAGCTATTACGCCACCTGCTGGTCCCGCCCTTCTGCCTTTTTAAAGTGAATAATGAGAGGGTTACTAGTCTTTCAGGCAACCTGTGTTGCTTCCTAACAATCTAGCTCCATTATTTAAAAAGCTAACAAGTGCCCTTTGCGTTTTTTATATTGGCTTCAGTCTTTCTGAAGTAAAAATACAGCTTCAATACTCTAAGGCAGAGAATTAAATCGCATTATCCCGCCAACATCACACACCTTCCCATGGTTTAAAACAGGCCGAGCAGTTGCTGGACGTGCTGCGGAGTGACGAGAGAACAGGCTCGCAGGCATGCCACGGCCAGAATGCTCCTAAAGGAGGGTCCACTGGGCCATGGGTGGGAAGGGGCAGGGGGCTTTTTCATAAAAATGGGACTAGGAAAGCCAGAGGTCTAGATGACCCAGACTAAAGATCCTCTTCTGTCTCCTTAACATGCACCACGCGGTGCTCTGAGCACGGCCCTGGAGGACCTGTGTGGAGTTAGCAGGCCTCCGGAAGAGGCTGCCTGACAGCGACGGCATGACAGAGCCTGCATCTGTTCTGGGACACGCGGAGTGGGACGGGTATGATCAGGAACGTCACTGTCAGGGGAAAGGCCAGACGCAGTCTTCCCCCACTTCTCAGCCCAGAGGTACAGGCCCAAGGACCACGCTCTTCTGACAGTCACGTCTGCACTCAAGCGCGTCATGTACACAACGTGGACACAGTGAGGGGACACGACGGGAATGCGAAGTGTAGTCCTGGAGGCGCCCTGGGAAGGGCGGGGCTTGAGAAATGCAGGGGGGAGGAGCTGCAGGTGGCAGCTCATTGTCTGGTCACATCCTGGTCACATCGCTGCCCTGCCGGGGGCAGGGTGGGCCTGAGCGGCAAACGTGCTCGGGGGCGCACTGCTTCTGGAATCCGCGGCGACTCATTCTTTCCCTTCTCCTTTTGGACACGTATGAAAAGAAAAGACCCAGGTTTCTTTCCAGTGTCCCCGGTCACAAAGTCTGGGGCCCCTGAGGTCTTCCAATTGCGAGGACAACTTGAGGTCACAGTGGGGGGCTCTCCGTGACTCCTGAGAAGGGTACGGCCCCGTTCTGCACGGAAAAACTGCGCCCCACTCCCCTGAGGAGTGCTTGGCAGAACGTGAACCTTTCTGTCCTCAACCCGGGAAAAAAAGTACAAAAAGAACAAGTCTAGGAACAAATACGGGAACAAGTCTTGGATTCTACCCAAAAAAGTTTGGGAAAAAAAAAAAGAGGCTGACACGTAAGAACAAAATAAGAACACTGAGCTCCTTGGTTGTGTATCGGCTGTGCTATGTCACTTGTCCCATTCTAAAAGCAGTGTCACACACAAAGGACAGACTGGATGAAGAAAAAGCACACCATACTAATAAATACCACCCATCAACTGTACCACCGAGTAACGTTAGACACAATCTACAGGAAGTGGATGGAGAAGAAATCGACCGCATTTTAGAAAAATTGGTATTTTCTCACCTTTTCGAAGCTCTTAAGTGTAACTTCATATAAAAGCTCAGCATTGGGTTCAATGCCAAATTTAGGCTTCCCTGCCTCTCCAAAACCATATCTGAAATGGAGAGTAAAAAATAAAACTTTAAAAGAATTGGTGTATTTCCAGGCCCTTCCTCCAGTATCCTGAGGCATCAGATTAGCAGAGGGCTACGCACATGAGACCCTGAAGATAACCAGTGTGGATCCGAAGAGAGTGCCAAGTATGGCTGCCGAGCTTCTCTTAGAAACCAGGATGGGTTGAGTTTTCTTCTTTCTATCCCACCCACATGTAATGCAAACCTGGACTCCTTGCTTAATGTGGTTTTAAACATCACTGCCTTGTTCTCTGCTTGATTTTACATCTAGTTCTTATTATAAAGCAGACATTTGGCTACCAGGGCTTTCCCCCTAAGCTTTATCAGCAGGACAGAGAAGACAGCCACTATAATTGCTACCGTGGTGTTTGTTACAGGTATATAATAAGGCCTATAATTTTAATAAGCTTTTAACTTTAAAGTATTGTTACCTTCCCATAGTTCTATTTTGTCAGATAAATTGGGGGGGGGGGACAATGTTCATACATCATGTAAAAAAATACATCCTCACAATATTTTTCTTTCTTTCTTTCTTTCTTTCTTTCTTTCTTTCTTTCTTTCTTTCTTTCTTTCTTTCTTT